ACTGTTGGTTCCCTGTGTATTTTTCTTTATTTCACTCTGCATAGCTTTTTTTTCCCTTCTTTATGTTTTTGCCATACTCAGTGAGTTCTCTGAGCATCCTGATCACCAGTGTTTTGAACTGTGCATCTGATAGGCTGGCTATCTCTTCATCACTTGGTTGTATTTTTTCCCAGAACTTTGAAGTGTTCTTTCATTTGGGCCATATATATATTTTTTGTCTCAGTGCACCTGTTATGTAGTAAGGGTTAGAGCCTTAGGCATTTACCAGGGTGGGGCAACCTATGTCATTGCATTGTTGTGCTGTACGTGGGGGAAAGATCCAGGAGAGAACAATGACACTTGCTGGGCTCTTGGCAGGCTTTCACAAGCAAATTGGGCCCTTCTAGTGCTGATTCCCAGGTGGTTGGTTTTGTGTATATTCTAGGATCCTGTGAGTCTCTCCAGTGAACACTCCTGAGAGGCCTGGAGTTTCTTCCACTGCTGCAATCCCCACAGGTATTTTTCAGTAAGAGGTTTTGAGGCTTTATTTCCCCATGCTGGAACCCTGGGTAGCTTGGTCTGTCTTGCTCCCCAGTTGTTCCTCCTGGTTTATTCACATGCCAATGTGGGACCAACCAGTCCACCAGCTGCTGCCTCGCACATCTCCATCCTCCAGCTGCAACCTTGCTGCAAGTCCTCTTTGCCCTGGCTGCCCATCTCTGCCCATCCTACCAGTCTGGATGAATGTTCCTTCTTTAACTCCTTGGTTGTCAGACTTCCATACAGTTCAATTTTCAGGCAGTTATTGTTATTTTTTGTTTTTAAATTTGTTGTTGTCCTATTTTTGGTTGTGTGAGGAGGCAAAGTGTATCCACCTATGCTTCTATCTTGTCCAGAAGTTTCATTATTAGTGCTCTTGTTAAGGAAGCCAATGGCATGCTTATTACCAATCCAACTAAAAATTTTTACTGGACCTTTCTCTGTTGCATTTAATATAATTGATCACTCTTATTCTATTTTTATCTTCATGCTTCTCTTGAAAATCTCTACTTCTTGGCTTTGGTGATGCTGATCCTCTCATAATTTTTCTCCTTCCTCCTTGATTACTCCTTATAATGTTCCTTTGTGTATTTTCCTCTGACATCTTGGTATTTCACATGATTTTTTCCATTCTATGCCTTTCCTCTATATCATGTCATGTATTTCCATGTTTTTATCTACTGTGCTTTTTACTCCCTAATCTATATCTACACCCTCAGACCTTGCTTGTGAACTCCAAACATGAATACTCAATTGCAACTAAACTTGTGGGACATGGTACGTCTCACAGGCACCTCAAAAACAAACTCAATTCAATTTGTTCATTAGATTCCAAACTGAGGCAGACTCATAGAGAAAGGGTAACAGCTAAGGTAGGGGAGGGTAGGGGAGTGGAGGGATTGAGCAAAAAGGGAAAAGAACTCATGGACATGGACAACAGTATGGTGATTGCAGGCAGGAGGGGTGTAGGGGAACTAAATGATAATGGAAAAAACAATAAGAAATAAAAAATAAGAACAAAGTAAAACTGAAAAATAAACTCAGTATGTCACAAACTTATCTTCCTTACTCAAATCTGCCACTCTTCCTCTATCAACCTCAAAATTTCCATTTTAGTGACTCAGACCACTATCAACAGAGTTGTCTAGGCCTAAAACTTGGGAGTCATCCTATACTCTATGTTCAACTAGTCACCAAGACCTGTTAAGTCCATCTTCTAAATATCTATCTGATATATTTTTTCTTTATGTTACTATAGCACATTAGTCCAGACTCTGCATCATTTCTTCAAAAAAAACTGCTTAAATGGCTTCTCAACTGGTCTATTTTGCTTATTGGCCTACTCCTCTTTAATCTGTTCTCCACACTGGAGTTAGAATGAGTTTTCGGTAATGCAAACCAGATCACGTCACTCCTAGGTGTCAAGCCATATCATGGCCTCCCACTCTTTACTGGTAGAGTCCAAGCTTCTCCACATGCCTTATAAAGGCCTTTCACAACCTGGTACTGCTTACCTTTTTACTCTTATATCCTATTATTTTTTCTTATTATCTTGCTAGATAATATCAAACTGAACACACCTCATCATGACTCCATGCTTTTTGTACACATTGTCTTCTCTGACTGGAATGACTTCTTGTCTTCCAACCAAACCCTTATTCAGTTTTCACAATTGGACTTGGACTAGGTCTGAATAGACATTCAATAAATTAGTGACAATGACTTGCTTCTACATAGAACTGGGTAGCAGGGACACAGGGGTGAAGGGAAGACTTACTTTGTCCATCCTCTTGTACTTGTATTTTTGCAACATAAGTTTGAATTGGTTATTCAAAAATATATACAGTGATGTTTTTCTAAAAAAAGAGTCGAAACTATATCCTCTAGAAAGCTGTGTCTCCACTTCTGTAGTTTTCCCTCCCTTCTCTGTGCTACCTCTGGGCCTAGTATGAACTACTGTTAAGTAGAATAATCACATTATATTGAATTTTTTATTTTAAGTTGTCTGCCTCCCCAAGTTGTGAGCTTCTTGGGGGTAGGGGTTGCATCTTATTTTTGGTTATTTTCCCAGAATCTAGCATAGTCCTCCATGAATGAATGAAGAAATTATTGAAGAAATTAATGAAGTATGGGGAGGCCCAATTATAAAGCAGGGCTCCCAAGCCTGTGCTCTTTCCAGATCATCTTTACTTTGTCCTTTTGTCATGCATTGAATCTGAAAGTAATATTTCATATTCTTAAGTGTTATCCATCACTCTCAGTTTGAGGTCAGCATTACCCATGGCTACTGAGATCCTTTCCATTTTATTTTTAAAAAATTAACTTTATTGGGATAACACTGGTCAATAACATATAAATTTTAGTTATACAACTTCATAATGTGACATCTGTACACTGTATTCTGTGCTCACTATCACGAAGTCTAGTCTCCTGTCACCTTGTATTTGACCCTCTGTACCTTCCAGGTTCTTTTAAGGCCCCCCCTACCTTTGTGTTATCGGCAGATTTAGTATAGATTTATATGTTCTATTCTGAGTCATTGAATCACAGAATTGAAATAATTTGGCTAATACCTTCTATTTATTGACCACCTATAGTGTGTTCATCATTGTGTTAGTTGCTTTTACAGATGACATTGTTACAGCATTTGATATAGATGAGGGCATTGAAATCACTATGGGTAAGCACTTTGCCCAAGGTCACATTGCAAGGTGAAGTTGAAGTTTGAACTGAGGTTTTTTGATTTTTAAGTTCATGCTTGATTCCTAACACAATGCTGATTAAAAGGAACCTCTCCATCATTTGACTACTAGGCAAGGGTTACCTAGAACCTCTTAGTGTCTGGTGTTCATTGCACCTCAAGGCAGCCCACTCCAGCTTTGGACACAAGGTCTTGTTTGTAGTAAGCCAAACTATAAAGGATTCAAACAAGACACACAGCTAAGAATAGAACCTTTTGGCTCACTGCTAGAACTTCCCATCTAGTCTGACACCAAACCATTCATTTGTTCAACTAGTTAGTTATAAACTCAACTTAACAAACAGCTGAAGCATCCAGCCCATATTTTGCCATCTCATCTACAAAGAAATTATGGGAAACTTTGTCCAATGCCTGTATGAAACGAAATCCACTGTAACTATCAATTCTCTGATCTGCCAATCTAGTAACCAGATTTTTTAAAAAAGGAAATGAAATTTGGGAGGGATATTTATTTGGGGGAAACAACTTATCAATGATTCAAAGTAATGAGTTTCCAATGGCAGATTTTCAGACATTATTGACAGACTGTCAGGAAGATGATTTGGGGGCACTGGGCTTCCCACTGCCTTCAAATGCCATCTAAATAGACAGCCTCCCCTTTCCATTGCTATGAATTGTACAGCACTGTTGTTTGTACCTGGTTTTACTGAGGCTTCCACTTCAGTTTTCTATACTTTTATTTTTCTTTGACTACATTCTGCCCTTGCACATGTTTTCTCTGGTTCATTCCCTAAATATCTACATTTTCACCAAATACACACACACACACACACACACACACACACACACACACACACACTTTGTGTTTTGAGAATCAGTGTATTAAGCCCATCTTCTGGAAGCCTTCTCTGATGTCCCCAAGCTGAGTCATTGCTTCTCCTCCTGTGGGATATAGTAGAAATTGCACACAGTGTTCATTACGAAGTAAATCCCCAGAAAATATTAGTTACCTTCTCCCTTTTTTTCATGTATGTCTCTAAAATAGTACTGATCACATCATACTGTGTTTCATGTTTATTTGGCTTCATCACCAATTCTGAACTCATGTGTTCATCCATCTAGCAGATATTTATTGCATGCTTAATGTGTGCACAAGTCATTGTTAATGTGAGGTGCTAGGGATACAATAATTTCAGAAAATTGTACTTTCACTGTGTATTATTCATTGATATATTTATAGCATCTAGCATAGTAGTTGGCAAATAAAGAGTGCTCATTAAATATTTGTTAAGAGAAATCTCCATGTGTGGTCCATGGACAATTTGCATCTGAATCACTGAAGGGTACAAGTTAAATATTAAATGTAGGAGTCTGGGATGGGAGAAATAGACAAAAAAACTGTACTTGAAAAATAACTAAATAAAAGTTAAAAAAAGAAAAAAATGTTAAATGTAAGTTCTTTGGTCTTGCACTAGATCTACTGAGTCAGAATCTGTTAAGGACAGGCTGTAAGAATCTGCATTTTATCTAGTTCTGCAGGTTTTTCTTTCACATTAAAACTTGGGAATCATTACAAAATAGGAGAGGTGGGGATACTAATGCTTATTTTTGAAAAGCACAGCTAAAACCAATTGAATCATATTTTGGGGGATACCAAATTACTTTCTATTTCTTCTTCCTTTCTTGTAGCTTTACTTAAAAAATTAATTTAGGATTTTGTTGGTGTCACTATTGCCAGCTAGATCATGACCTGCTGCCCTCACAGAGCTTGTTGGACATCATGTCCAAGGACCTGAAAATTCTGTGCAGTGACTCTTACCTGTAGCTGAGTGAGGATCAGTATCAGCATTTAAGTGGTGATAACAAAGAGTGTGAAAAAGTACTGAAAGAAATCTGCACTCTGTATGTGGGGAATCTTTCCTTTTCTACAACCACAGAACAAATATTTGAGCTCTTTAGTAGATGTGGCAATATCAGGAGTGTATTTATGGGTTTAGATAAAATAAAGAAAATGGCATGTGGTTTCTGTTTTGTAGAATACCGCAACAGAACTGATGCTGAAAATGCCATGTTGTTCCTAAATGGAACCATCTTAGATGACTATATCATCCACAGAGATTGGGATCTAGGCTTTAGAAAGTGCAGACAGTGTGGCTGTGGCCAATCTGAGTGCCGGGTAAGGGATGAGTTTCATGAAGATTTTGATGCTGGTAGAGGAGACTTTGGAAAAGAAGCTGAGGCCCAGGATAAGAGAGGAACCCTTTAGTGAAAAACCTTCAGCTCTAGTCCCTCAAAAAGGTGTTTTAAAGAAAAACCCCAGGTAAGCAAATAGCTGATCATCTCCTAACAAGTTTAAAGTACTTCATTTGCTGACCAGAAACTCTTTTGATATATTTTCTCTCTGATAAGTTATTAAATTATAGAAACACAAATGTTCTTTTATTCTTGTATTTTTGAAGCTGGTTGTCGGATTACCAATTTGACTATCAGGTTATTAAAAGTAAAATTGTATTCAGGAACAAATTAGATGTGTAATATCTGAGTCAACTAGAGCACAAACTCACTTTCAGAAAGGTACCACTTGCATTTTATGGTCATGTTCCTAGGACTTGAAAATAACTAATTTTTAGAGCTTGCATGAAATAAATTCAAATAAATGGAAAATTTTGTTAAAATTGAACAACAATAAAACAATTTTAAAAAGAATTATGTAGACTTAAATTTAAAAAAAATCGAAGGAATAAAGCACATTATTTTAAAAGATGAACAATTACAGAAGTTTATAATGAAAGCAAAAATCCTCCTGCCCCACCTCATCCTACCTTAGACTTATTTCCTGGGAATAACTTTTCTTTTCTTTTTGGTAGGTTTTTTTTTGTTTGCTTCTTTCCTAGTAGTTTCTTCCAAATTTCTAAACAACATGACTCTTTGTACTATTTATTCTTATTTTAAACATCAGCTATTGACTTCTTGCTTTCATAGTTAAGGACTTAGCTCATTTACACCCCCACGTACAGGTCTCTCTGTCCTAATACACTTTACAATACTTACCTTTTCTATTATTATATAACATAGGTGAGAAAACTGTGTCCTTCATGAAATTATCCAGCTGTTGAATCAACTAATCTTATAGCACACACTATGTCTGGATGTCCTATTATGTAAGATAATGCATATTGTTTAAGCCAGTTCATTAACACACAGTTGAATACACTCTGATACCAAGTATTTCTTTCTAATTTTTAATTTTAATTGTTCAAGTACAGTTTTCTGCCTTTTACTCCTATCCCATATTTTTTCCTAATTTCATCCTCGTGTAAAGGATTTAAACTGGTCCCTTGTGAACTCAAGCATACCTCAATATAGTTCATGAGTTTTCATCTGGAAAGTTAGATAAAAATCACCTTTTTACCCCTACTCCTTCACCCTGTGACCTGAGGTCATTCTCTTATTGAATAAAAACCTTTCTTGGGCAGGGGAGGAAAGGGGATGCTGATTCTTTTTTTTTAATTTAAAGATTTTATTTATTTATCTATAGAGGGGAAGGAGAGAGGGAGAGAAACATCAATGTATGGTTGCCTTTTGTGTGTCCTCTGATGGGAACTAGCCTGCAGGGAACCGGCCCGCAACCCTGGCATGTGCCCTGACTGGGAATCGAACCTCGATTGTCTGGTTCACAGGCCTGTGCTCAATTCACTGAGCTACACCAGCCAGGGCAGGATGCTGATTCTTATGGAGGACTACTAGGTGATATTCACTTTTAAAAAAAAATTATTTAGTTATTTTTCAAGTACAGTTTTTTGTCTGTTTCTCCCATCGAAGTCCCCCCTGCCCCGTGCTCCCCACCTCCCTCCCATTTCCACCCCCCTTAGTTCTAGTCCCTGTATCCTTCCTATTTGTTCCTCCAAATCCCTCCTCCTTATTCCCCTTAAATTCCCTTCCCTCTCCCCTCTGGTCACTGTCCCCTTGTTCTCTATTTCAGTGTCTTTGTTTTTATTTTGCTTGCTTGTTTGTTTTGTTGTTTAGCTTCCTGTTAAAGGTGAGATCATATGGTATTTGTCTTTCAACACTTGTCCTATTTCACTCATCATAATGCTTTCTAGCTCCATCCATGTTGTGGCAAAGGGTAGTAACTCCTTCTTTCTCTCTGCTGCATAGAATTCCATTGTGTATATGTGCCACAATTTTTTGATCCATTCATTTACTGATAGGCACCTAGGTTGCTTCCAACTCTTGGCTATTGTAAATTGTGCTGCTATGAACACTGTGGTGCATAGGTTCTTTGATATTGATGTTTTAGGATTCTTAGGATATAATCCTAGCAGTGGAATTACTGGGTCAAAAAGCAGGTAGATTTTTATTTTTCTGAGAAAATTCCATACTGTTTTCCATAATGGTTGTACCAGTCTGCAATCCCACCAACAGGGACCTAAGGAACCCTTTTCCCCACAACCTCTCCAACATTTGTTGTTTGTTGCTTTGTTTATGATAGCCATCCTGACTGGTGTAAAGTGGTATCTCATTGTGGTTTTAATTTGCATCTCTCTGATAGCTAACAATATTGAGCCTCTCTTCATGTGTCTCTGGATGTTCTGTATGTCCTCCTTGGAGAAGTATCTGTTCAAGTCCTTTTTCCATTTTTTTAATTGGGTTGGGTGTCTCCTTATAGTGGAGTCGTGTAAGTTCTTTGTATATTTTGGAGATTAAACCTTTGTCTGAGGTATCATTGGCAAATATGTTCTCCTATACAGTTGGTTGTCTTTTTAATTTAATACTTTTTTCTTTAGCCCTGCAGAAGCTTTTTATTTTGATGAGATCCCATTTGTTTGTTCTTTCCTTTATATTCCTTGCTCTAGGGGACATATCAGTAAAAATGTTTCTGTGTGAAATATCTGAGATTTTCTTGCCAATGTTCTCCTCTAGGACTTTAATGGTGTCACAGCTTATATTTAAGTCTTTTATCCACCTTGAATTTATTTTGGTATATGGTGTAAGTTGGCGCTCAAGTCTCATTTTTTTGCATGTAGCTGTCCAGTTCTCCCAACACCATTTGTTGAAGAGGCTATGTTTACTCCATTTTATGTTACTTCCCCCTTTGTCAAATATTAATTGATTGTAGAGAGTTGGGTTTATTTCTGGACTCTCCGTTCTAATCCGTTGGTACACGTGCCTGTTTTTATGCCAGTACCAGCCTGTATTGATTACAGTGGCCTTGTAATACAGTTTGGTATCAGGTATTGTGATCCCTCCTACTTTGTTCTTCTTTCTCAAAAGTGCAGCTACTTTTGGGGTCATTTATGGTTCCATATAAATTTTTGAAGTGTTTGTTCTATGTCTGTGAAATATGCCATTGGTAGTTTAATAGGTATTGCATTGAATCTGTATATTGCTTTGGGTAGGATGGACATTTTGATGATGTTAATTCTTCCAATCCATGAACAAGGTATATGTTTCCATTTGTTTTTGTCTTCCTTGATTTCTTCCTTCAGGGCTGTGTAGTTTTCTGCATACAGGTTTTTTACCTCCTTAGTTAGATTTATTCCCAGATATTTTATTTTTCTTTTTGCTATATCGAATGAGATTTTTTCCTTGATTTCTGCTTCTACTGATTCATTGTTGGTATACAAAAATGCCTTTGATTTCCGGATATTGACTTTGTAACCCGCTGTTTTGCCAAATTCATTAATTAGTTCGAGCAGTTTTTTGGTAGAGTCTATAGGATTTTCCATGTACACTATCATGTCATCTGCAAACAGTGACAGTTTTGTTTCCTCTTTTCTGATTTGGATGACTTTTATTTCCGTTTCTTGTCTGACCACTGTGGCTAAATCTTCCAATACTATATTGAATAGAAGTGGTGAAAGTTGACAAACTTGTTTTGTTCCTGATCTTAGTGGAAAAGCTTTTAGTTTTTGCCCATTGAGTATGATGTTGGCTGTAGGTCTCTCATATATGGCCTTTATTATATTGAAGAATGCTCCCTGTATTCCCACTTTGCTGAGTGTTTTTATCATAAATGGGTGTTGTACCTTATCAAAAGCTTTTTCCGAGTCTACTGATATGATCATGTGGTTTTTGTCTTTGCTTTTGTTTATGTGATGAATTACATTTACTGATTTGGGAATATTGAACCATCCTTGCATCCCTGGGATGAATCCCACTTGGTCATGGTGTATGATCTTTTCGATATATTGTTGGATGTGATTTGCCAATATTTTGTTGAGGATTTTAGCATCTATGTTCATCAGCGATATTGGCCTGAGGTTTCTTTCTTTGTTGTGTCTCTATCTGGTTTTGGAATTAAGATGATGCTGGCTTCATAAAAATAGTTTGGGAGTCTTCCATCCTTTTGGACTTTTTGGAATAGTCTGTGGAGAATAGGGGTTAGCTCTTCCTTAAATGCTTTGTAGAATTCTCCTGTGAAGCCATCTGGTCCAGGGCTTTTGTGTGATGGGAGTTTTTTGATTACTGCTTCAATTTCTTTTGCTGTTATTGGTGTGTTCAGTTTTTCTGCTTCTTCTTCATTGAATTTTGGAAGATTGTATTTTTCTAGAAATGTGTCCATTTCCCCTAGGTTTTCAAATTTCTTGGCATACAGTTCTTCATAGTAATTTCTTACAGTCCCTTCTATTTATGTGCTACCAGTTGTAATCTCTCCTCTTTCATTTCTGATTGTGTTTATTTGTGTCTTCTCTCTTCTTTTCTTGATGAGCCTACTTAAAATCTTGTCTGTTTTGTTTATCTTCTCAAAGAACCAACTCCTGGATTCATTGATCCTTAGAATTATGCTTTTAGTTTCTATGTCATTTAATTCTGCTCTAATCTTGGTTATTTCCTTCCTTCTACTTGCTCTGGGCTGTCTTTGTTGTTGTTCCTCAAGTTCTTGCAGGGGTAGGGTTAGGTTGTTTGTTTGAACTGTTTCTATCTTCTTTAGGTAGGCCTGTATTGGTATAAACTACCCTCTCCAAACTGCCTTGGCTGTGTCCCATAAGTTTTGGGTTGTTGTGAGATCATTTTCATTTGTTTCCAGAAACGTTTTAATATCTTCCCTAATTTCATTCTTGACCCATTCATCATTTAGTAGCATACCATTCAGTCTCTATGATTTTGGGTGCTTTGGGTTTTTTTCTTTGGGGTTGGTTTCCAGTTTCAGTCCCTTGTGGTCAGAGAAGATGCTTGGTATGATTTCAATTTTCTTGAATTTGTTGAGGCTCGTTTTGTGTCCTATCATGTGGTCTATCTTTGAAAAGATTCCATGTGCATTTG